AGAAACCAAAGTTAGACTTGAACAAATAAGAGAGACTGGAAAAAGCACATCCTTATTTACCATCTGCCCTTCCTCCTGGCACTTCTGCCTGACATCACTCAGCATGTCTTTTAATTTTGCTTTCTGTTGGTCCATTTCCTCTAGCCGGTCTTGTGCATCTTGCTTTTGTGCTTCCAGTTCCTGCAATGTTGATGTTTCCCGGTCTAGATCATTCTGCAACTCCTAAAAACATACAAGTGCAGATTCTGTATTAATTCTATACATTGGCCTGTATTACACATGTATTAATTACTTCTTTATTATAACAAAAATATATGGAAAATTAATAAAAAATGTAAGAGAGATAAGAGTCCACTTGAGGCCCGCAACACCAATCACTATGTCTACCCTAGATGTACCTGCATTTTAGAGGACACATTTCTTGGTACTCTTCCATGGAATTGCTACCATTTCTTAATAGTTCAATGTTTTGTCCTTAGGCATTCTTAGGTGCTTTTAAGCGTTATGTTTTGGGTCATTCTCCTGGTAGAGGGCCCATTACCTGAGACATAACTCTCTAACACTGGGCAGTAAGTTTCACTTCAGAAGTCCTTAATAGTCTTGAGATTTTTTTGTGCGCTGCAGAGATTCAAGGTACCCCATGCCAGACACAGCAAAACATCCCCAAATCATACCCAAGTTGTGAACATAGAGCTGATGTGACTTGCCAAATAGCGACACTCTTGTCTGATCTGTACAACAGACATTCTCCTAGAAGAATTGTAGTTTGTCAGTATGCATTTTCTTGTTCTTTTTTTCTGAAGATGGTTCTTTAGGATTTGAATGTATGTTTGGGGTCGTTATCCTGCTGCTCAATGAATTTGGAACCAAGTTGTGCCTTCTTAACGGTATAGCATGATGGTTAAGTATCCGACTGTACATTTCAGCATTGAGGGGGCTATTAATACTGACCAAATCCCCAAACTTTACTTGTACAAATGAAGCCCCAAACCTGTGAGGAATCTCCACAATGCTTCACAGTTGCCTGCAGACACTCATCCTTGCACCACTCTCCAGGTCTTTGGCGAACAAACTGCCTGCTGTTACAATATTTGAAAATGTAAAATCTAAGGCACCTGCGCACCGGTATTTGTATTTTCCTGCCTAGACATGACATGATCTTGTTGCAATGTCGGAGGTATGTCTTTTACCTGCAAGTCTTAAAGACCATTTTTGACCAGACTTTTCCAGACTGTAGATGGGTGTGTACCAGTGTCCCACTGATTCCTGCCAGGTTTAAGCTGATGGTACCACTGGACATTATCTAATTGGGAAGGAAAATCAGCATAATGTCCTTCATCTGCTGCACCAAGTTCCCCCTGGCCAACCACTGAATTATTGTTCCTTACGTTGCCCATTTGTGCTTCTGCAGAAGAGCTTGAACATCTGAAAATGGCACTTTTCCTTGAAACGTTTTGTTTCTGTGCCAAGTTTAGCCATTGTACAAGATCTTTTACACTAAATTGTGTTCAGTGACCTTGACTAGTTAGTAGAGCTTTTCCTAACCAATTTTCATTGTGCTCCCCTTTCATCCCAGTACCAGGGACTGAGAGGGGGGTGCAATGTGAGTACAATGGGACACGGTACTCCTGGGGTGTAGAGTGATTGGATGGCTATACAGCTGATCATGTCTACAAGAATCCTAGAAGCAGCAAGATTAAAACAAAACCAATCCACAGCCACAGGGTTTCACGGAAGCTGCTTGAATCTTGCCGACAGCTTGGCAAATACTTTGTAAATGTGCCCATACACTGGACGGCCGAAATTCGCACAGTGTGTGGGGCTGTCGGCTCCCTTTCAACCAGCATTCCTCGATCAGCTGATCAAAGGAGCCTGCTGGAAAACCCTTGTGCGATCAGAGCCGGCAGCCAATGAGCTGCCCACTCTGATCGGGTATTCTGACAGGTGCCGGCGGCACCTGTCAGAATACAATGCAAACAGAGGCGTTTCCTTGATCGACACGCTGTTTGTGTTAATGTACGGATCACGTCAATTCCTTCCATTCAGCTCGCGGGCTGAACGAAATAAATTTACAGGTGTATGGCCAGATTTAGGAAAGCAGAAGCTAGGCTTCTGTAAAATTCTTACATACCTGTACCTCTGTGGTCTTATGCCTTATGGTCTCTTCCTTTTCCCTGATATCCTGCTCAAGAGCGTATTTTTCTCTGTAAAACAAAGAAATCACTAGATCAGCTGTCTGTATTCAGTTTGCATCAATATTTGTAATACTTATATTCGTAATTCAAGTGTTTACATTCACTCATATTAAAAATGGGTCAGTCCTCATTTATAAAAGTAATACATTTGCACATTTCAGCAACAAGAAATCATTTTTCAAAAAATGGAACTGTAGTTCTGTGAGAAAAGGCCCTCAAAAAAAAAAAAAAACAATAACACAACAGTAACAGCTTTCCACAGAGATCCTTTTTCTTGGGGACTTAATTGGTGTGAAATATCAAACCTTAAAAATTAGTAAATAATTTGAGAAAATTGCTGTTACAATTTAGCAGTGGTGTGATAGTGATCAGAAACTCAGAATATTACCACTCACCTCTGCAACTGGGCAATTTCATGGCTGATTTCGTCTAGTTCCTTTACCCCAGTAAATTCTCCAGATCCAACAGAGCTTGAGCTGTCCTGAAAGGGGAACACATCACTATTCATTACCAGACTGTAAAATTAACACAGATGGCATGTTCTGCTATGTCCATAGATCAAGGGAAAGCGGCTAATCTAGCCATGTAAGCTCATAACTTTGAAGGTTCTTGTATTACAATCGCCATTGCCCTATTTATGAAGTCCACTTAAAAAGCCTTAGGCGTCTAAAAGAAACATGGGCTTTAGGATAATGCAGCCTTTCTCAACAATAGAACAGTGCTCTAAAATCATAAAGAGTGATTTTGTTTTTATGAAATCATGACACGCATCTCACATCACTCACTCCCTTTGTAGTCTACATCATTACTCAAACTATTTCAGATGCTCCATAACTGCCCACCTGTTGTTTCCTGGGAATGTTATAAGAAACAGAAAAGGACATAAATGATTTCTCCGAGTTATAGGAACTAAGGTGAAACTTTAAACACGCAACATTGCTAAACATATTTTGCAGAATTAGGGTTGCACAGATACCAAGTACAGTACTCGGTACAAGAACAAGTACATGTACAGATACTTTTGAGCTCCGAGACTACATTAGGGAAAAATACAAAAGTTAGGAGGCAGCTGTGATTTGTAAGGAGCACACGGAGCTCCTGGGATTTGTACATCTCTGTTTTAATGTACGATTTTGTTTTTATAAATATAAATAAAGGGTTGCACAGATACCAGTTTTGCGAGTACGAGTACTGGTACTTGCCTAGTACTTAGAAGTACGAGTACTGATACATTTTTGTTTATTGTCATGTGACAGTTTTTCTAAAACAATACAGACTAATGATTTCAGGACAGTGGTGAAGCGCCAGAGCCAGGTCCCAGCTGCAACCGCTGCAACCCTGGTAGTTCTCATGAAAATGCCAAGTATCGGCACTGGTATTCGAAAAGTATCTGTGCATCCCTATGCAGAACCTTAGTCTAGTGCATCATGCGAAATAAGCAGATGAAAAAATAAATTAACCCAAGTACTCCTTTTAGGTAAATTCTAGGAAAATAGAATGTTTGAGTCAATTTACGTTTCCTTTAGGCTGTGATTTGTCTGACAAACTTCAGACTAAGCCATTTCATAAGAGTTGATTCACTGCTAATTTAGTTGTGCATACATTTCAGGTTTGAGTTATTGAGTTCTGCAAACAATAGACTTTATATTAAAAAAAAAAGAAAAGTCTGGAAATCATAAGCAGCAGCCAACAGCTCTCATCAACTTAGAACACAAAATATTAATATGCAATGCGTCATATTTTAAACGGACTGAAAAGTTGCTTTTTAATTTCAGTTTTAGCCCTGACTGTCATAACTTATGCACAAAACCCTTGTAAATTTTCAGTAAACAGCTTTTTACATAGTTGTCCATTCAAATTGGGGTAGTCGCAATGCGTAGTCATTACCTAGATCCTCCAGTTTCGAAAAGAAGTCCCCAGAAGTCTAAGATTTTTTTTCTCTATTTAGAACAGTCAATTTGAACCCAGCGCAAACAATTAAGACCAATAGGCTCTTCAGATACATTTTCTACGCCGTTGATTGATACTTGCAGCCAGTTAAATAGGCTCTAAACAAGATTATTAGCCAAATCTTGTGGGAGGTTGTGTAACTTGGCAGTAATTACAAATCGATCCTTTTAGATAGGTGATGGCCAATAAAAAAGGACTGGGCAGCTTGTTTTGAAAGTTAAGAGCCAACAATTGCACTGTATATTGCAGAAAACCTTACTTTTTCCAAGTGATATGACTGCACCCAATATGTGCCTTCTAGCAGAAAAAACATGTCTATAGCCCGCTCTGAGAATGAAATATTGCGGAGTTAACGTGTTTAAGTAAACCTTAAAGTGACATTAAACCCTCAGATTTTTTTAACATAAAACAATACTGTAATGTGCGCCTTACTGTAATCCATGGTAGTTTCCCTTCTCTTTGATGCTCTTCCTTTTAAATCTGTATCTGTTCTCATGCTTGGAGAGAACTTCCCTTTTCAGCAGACTGCCTGGTCTCAAACGGTGTCTGTGTATACGTTTCTATAGGCTGTAACCTGAGCCAGCACTACAGGAAGAGGCCCTGAGCTGAAAAGGGAAGTTCTCTCCGAGCATGAGAAAAGATACAGATTTAAAAGGAAGAGCATCAAAGAGAAGGGAAACTACCATGGATTACAGTAAGGCGCACATTACAGTATTGGTTTATGTTAAAAAATCTGAGGGTTTAATGTCACTTTAACAATTAATTTCTCTTATTTGCTCTACTTTCATTTGCTAAATATACAGTTGAAAATGTTTTGTTATATCTGCTCAATAAGTACAAAATAATTCCTGTTGATCCTGACCAAAGCCTAGAGAGCTGATAACTTAAGGAACTTTGTTTTTAGATACACTTTAAATACAGTGCCTACTTCCAGGAGTGAAATAGGTTAATTCCTATATAGAATGCCGACTTTTTAGGTAAAGGGTCAAGAACCTGAACCTGAGATGATGCGATGTGTTACAAACCTGTGAAGTTCCATTGTGTGGTCCTAGCCTGGAAACTGCTGGTATAGTGATGTAGGTCTCATATTCCAAGTTGTACAACACCAGCTTCCTGGGACTAGTAATATTTACAGGACATTCTAGAAAATTAAACATTGCCAACTTCCTGGCTCTACTGTCATATCCTACACAGTCTCTGGTAGTAATATGTTCACTATTTGGTTTCCCTTTAGCAGGGGGCATAATAATGAAACATACACCCTAAGGCTCCATTCACACCTATATTTTAGGTGCAGTTAGGGATTTGTGTGGCATGACTGTGATTTCTTGCAGCAGAAATTTGAATGGGTGACAGTTGCTGCATCTAAACGGCAGATTAGGGATTCCTGCTGCAGGAAATTGCAAGTTCGTGACACTGGAATCCCTATTCACACTTAAAATATAGGTGTGGATGGAGATTAAATGTTATTGTTTAAAAAGAAACATGCACCTGCAGGAGAAAATTGATCTGTAATAATTACACAGAGATGAGCCACTCCATGCTGCCATTTTCAGAAAAAAAAAAAAAAAAAAGTCATGCAATAAATTCATTGATAGATCCGCATTCCATTAAGCTTTTAGTATAGGTGGAAAAAAACACTTTAATAAAAGCTTTACGGGTCTTTCCTTATGGAGGAAATATGCTCATAATCACGCAGTAAGCCATCTATCCCTCAATAACAAATACAATTTTAAAAAATTTACATACTTTATAAACTAAGTGAAAACTATGTGAAGTAGACTATAGGTGATAGCAGTCAAGTGTGCATGCAGATATGTGTGGCATGCCAGGATGGGACTACTAAACAAGGGTTTACTCACACGCCGTATTTCTGGCAAGCTTGTCATGTCGTTTCCTACAGGGGTCATGTAACCAGACAGGGTCTGGAGGAAAAGGGCAAGGAAGAAGCCACAGATGGAACATACGGATCACATATATAGAACACATTGAGCAAATATATCAAAAGACAAAACCATCTATTGTATTTATATCCACCAATAAGTATATAAGTACATATAGCTGTAACTATGTGTAAAGAAAAGTATTTTTCACTCAATCCATTTGGAGGCTTAGCATCCTACAGAACAGGTCTTTTGAACCGGGAGAACAGAAACTCCCATCTGCTTTGAATGCATAGTCTTGTCATTTCATTAGTTTAAACTTCTAGCTCACCATTACTAGATAGAAATTGTCCACAACAGAACGATACAACTAAAGTACTTTTAGTTTTGAGAACCATTACAAGTCATTTACTTTATCTGGTTATGGTCAAATGGCTGAAACATAGCCGTGTGCCTGACTTTGCTTTGTCTGATTCCTTTCTCGATAAAACCCTCTCAATTTAAAAATAAATAAGAAAGAAAGAAAGAAAACAATATATGACAGATGGCGCCTCACTTTTAGGGTTTTCTCTAGTTGTTGTCAATATAGCTGGCTCAAAAAAAAAACACTTTTCGTCCCATCACCTTTATTAAAAGGAGAATTATGAGGCGAGTGATTTTCACTCAGCCTCACAATCTGAGCCGACCTGTGACAATGAAACTGTCACACGTCGGCTCAGTAGATCGGGAAGTGAGCGAACACATACCGGCGCTCGCTCACTTCTCGGTCTATCCCTGCAGAGAGCCGTGACTGTCACTCACGGCTCCCTGCAGGGATTCCCCCCTCCCCAATCCTCCAGCGCTGACTGGCGGAACGGACGGGGGAGGGGGTGGGTACAGCTGACTCTGCATGGCCAGAGCCAGCTGTCACTCACGCAGCTGGGTGAATTCAGACAGACTTGTCGGGATCCGTTCCGGCTGCGGCATCTCAGTATACGGCGAGCTGTAGCTCGCCGTATACTGAGCTTTGGGTGACGGGAGGACGCTAGTTTGTGTCCTCCCGTTACCCTTAGCAGAACTATGGGGAAAAACACTGACCCCATAGTTCTCCTTTAAAGAAAACCCCTACCACAGGCACACATAAGACACTAATCCGCATGCACTGACTGTACATTTTTAGGTGCAATGACTTTTTATGCCCGGAGTGCAGCTTTAAACCCCTAAACCTAGAAATCAGGAAAAGAAGATAGCCTGACCAGACATCCCAATCCCCAGTGAGGCAACACATGCTGTAGAAACCTCAACGCATGATATATCAACAGAAAATGAATGACCCTGCAGTCAGCCTGACTTAAGAGAAGTGAGGTGTCTAGAGAAATCCCACACAAGTGTAGGCAGCGAGAGAGATAGTCAACAACAGTAGAGCAAGATACAGATGTCCTCCAACAAATATCTACAAGTGGCCTGGGGTAGACAGAGGAGCTCTGCAAGCCTGCCTAATTATGGACAGAAAAGTATGGTCAATGAATAATTTACCCTGCCCCAAGCCAGAGAAATGAGGGGCAGGAGTCTTAGCCACAGGGCTAAGGACAGTCAGCTAATGAGAGGCAGGAAAAAGAAAGGGCCCTGACAGGGACTCTTCAAGAGGCAAACCCCAGCCACAAAAGCACCAGGGACAGACAGCATCAAGGATACACACACACACACTGACAATGCTGACGATGCTGAGCTCTCCTCCAAGGCCCTTCCTAAGATAGTGTGCCTAATGCACAAAGGGTGCTGTCCCGTGGAAATCTGGTTAGGAAGCCGACTCTCTGGAGTATTCCCTGATGAAGCAGGAACTGTCTGACCTGGGGATTCAGATGTAGACCCCAGATCTGGAGACAGCTCAGTAAAAGGAATTCACGTCAAGTGAAAGGGCGAAGGAACTCATGCGCATAGACTTAAGGGGTAGCTCCAGGAACTATCTGGTCCAAGGAGATCTCCTATACGTCTTGTCTTTCAGTCATGCCCTTAACTATAGAGTTAGCTGTGTAAAATGGACAGAGAATTTGAGAAGAAATTAAAACCCTCATTAGGAGCATATTCCTGTGATACCTCACCTGCCTCAAAGCTGGAAGTAGGAGATATGTCCTCCATAACTCCTAACTTTAGAACTTGAGAACAAAGGACACTTTAGGGAGATAGGGGCATGAAGTTCACATAGCAGAGTATTGAAAAGTGGGTGTGGTTAAATTATGCTGAATATTGGATGTGGCCTAATAAAGTGTGAGCCTACATACAGTATATACACAGCATTCCATGTACTCACAAAATACTAAAATTACAGTTGCACAAATGAGTGTCTTACAGACATACATATCCCTCAGCAAAAAGGATTTAAAAGTCTTATAAGACATGCCTTCCTCTACAAAGAATATAGGCAGACAGCAAACACTTTGATTCTACTTTAGAAGAACTTCATTAAAATAGTTGGGGACTACATAGCAACTGTTGGGACAATAAATATTGTGGTGAAGAGTATGTCAATTACTGCACAGCACGTAATGTATGACATAGCTTTTGAATACAAGGATCAGGAGTAGAACACACAGCACAAGAAACAAAGTGCAAAGGTCAGCGGTATGTAACATAGTCCGCTCTGCTGGTAAATGGGGGGCAAAAATGTTAAGGTCTTGATGGGAAAAAATGAGTGCCGACTGTGGTCAATGGGTGAAATAATTCCCTTAGAGGAAGAATTCCCCCTCCCAGCATCTGCATCAGTGTGAACAAGAACCTCCTTTCCCATGGCACTGGTGACCAGTGGATTAACCCCACCCCTTCCCACACATTGGTGGCCAGAGAGGGTACACATCTGCCATCAATGATTCTCCAGCAAACCTCTACCACCAACTCCCCCCCAGCACACCTCTGCCACTAATGT